GACACAAATAAACATTTTAAGTTTGATTCAGACAGAAAGCTAAATCCTTGATTAAAAAATTGAACCAAATTTCTTGACGTGGTTACCGACTGCAAGATAAAAAAGACCACAGTGTATCTAATATTTTTCTTATTTATTCAATTTTCAGCAATAGAAATTAGATCAGTCTTACCTCACGCGAAGCTTATGATTAGTTGATTACAATGACTGGAAAAAAAATTGGGGTGTCCGTGCTCGTTGGTGAGCTAGAGCCATTTTTCAACTGAAAGAGCTCAATATCAAGGCAAATCCGTCATGTTTTCAATGTGCGCGTGCACGAGCGCGCGCTATGACGCCATAAATTATGCGCAGTAAGGATGCGCAATGCAAATGTGAGGAATTACCTTAATTTCTGTGATAGTCCCGGAATACATTTTGATGCTCAATTGGCAGTTACGTCTCCATATTAGTACTTGATCATATATAGCACATAAAACTTTTAATTGATGAAATTATGTTTGTCTTGCACAGGAAAACTAAAGATGCAATTGTCCCACCTTCATTCAAACAGGTGAGATCAATGTGATATTGTAAAGTACACACTTCACCTATGCTTTTGTTCATTCATACTGATACATTTTTACGTTATACATGATCCATTTTGTAGTCATTGGAACTTTGTTTATTGGTAAACTTTTTCTTTCTTCCCTAGTTTTTTAGCAGTTCCCAAGCTCTTAAATTTTTAGATGTATCAGACTGTAAGTTACATGCTGATGCGGTCAGGTGAGTAGATTTATCTTTCCTCTCTATAAAGCAGTCTTTTCATTAGGTTTTGTTGGATCTTGTGGGTTTTTCCGTGACACAAAAATGTTTTTGTGCTGTAATAGTGGTGGGTGTGGTGTGGCAGTAGTAGTGTGTGGTGCAGGGTGGTGGTGGCTGTGTTGCAGTGGTGGTGGTGGTGGTGTGACCATCGTGACGGTAAATTGTAATTATTGTGACCAGCCTGTTCGTTGTGGTGAATGTTGTTGTAGTTGTATCCGGTGGCTGCTTGGCCTGGTTTTATTGTGTTTCTGAGAGTGATGGTCATAGTAACTGCACAGGCGTCCCAAACTCACGATTCGAGGAATCGGGCAAACATATGTACGCGTAACGTGTGGGACGTAACCACCTAAAGTGTGCAGTGTTGTGTTACACGTTGGACCGTTGAGAATTTGAGCAACATTATTTTATTATTTTTTTTCAATAACATTTTATTTCGTTGAGCGTTTTTATCTTCCGTTATTTTAAACTCCATACAATGCCTCTTAGAGCGCTCAAATTCTTAACAGCTGAAAGGGTAACACAACACCGCACACTTTAGGTGGTCACGTCCCACTTGATGCGCGTACATAAATCATTAATATTTGACCGATTCCTCGAATCGTGGGTTTGGGACGCCTGTGATCGCTGTTGTGGGTTCACAGCCAGTGGTGGTGTTGTGTAGGTGTTGTTGCCATTCGGACTGTTGAAGGGATTGTGAATGTTCTTGAGTGTGGTGTGATGTTGTAGGTGTTGTAGCTAGCCATTGGTCGTGGTTGTAGGCAATGTGTTGTGGTGATTATTGTCACTGTTATTCTGCTGAACTGAACGTTTCTGGTTGTTTGAGCAAGGGGTTAGTTTTTATTGCACTTTTAGAAGTAAGCGTCGTTTAAAAACTGCAACGTAAACCACGACGATTGGTCCCCGCTAATTCGAACTCGGTTATTTCAAATTCCCCGTTATTTCCAACTCACAACCATTTCCTTTGGATTTGTCCTGCCTTCAATTACTATCTGCTAAAATATTTCGAAATCTCCCGCTATTTCGAACTATTTTTCATATTCCCGGCGAGTTCAAAAATTGTAGAAGGGTTCAACTTTATTTTTGTATGTTTGTTTGTTTGTTTATTTGTTTTATTTAGAGCAATCCTCGAAGGATTACGTGAAAATAGCGTTCTCACTGATGTTGAACTTAACATCAGCAACAATGAGGTGAGTCTGGCTGTGAAAATCTGACGGAAGCTGAAATGAGTGATGCTGACTGATAAAAAAAATTATTTCCATTTACGCTTGCTTGCACCTTGAAGTGCCATTAAACTCATTTCAATATTGATGGAACTCCTAGTTATACTTTGTGGTAGAGTCCTACAATACCTGAATGTGATCCAAGGAACTCAGCCTGTGTGAAGAAAATAAAGGCATAAAGCTTCACAGGGAAATAGATTTCTGTGATAAACTGAATTAACTTAAGACAATAAAACCATAGAGGAGAATTCAAGGTCGTGCAAATTGTTGCAAAATCAGTGATTGCATTGATTCGTGTTCGATTGTTTCCCACCATTTTGTAAAGGGAGTAAAGAGTTATGACAATTGTGTTTGTATGGGACTCTGATACCAAATAATTCTTGCACTATACTAACTGTGGAGTTGTTTACATGTAGCCGAACCTTTGGTGGCGACATAAACATGTTGGCCAATTTGAATGAGAATTCCACTGAATACAAATTTGAATAACCTTGCAGCTTAGAAGTCAAGGAGCCAAAGCTATTGCTGAAAATATATCCAGCCTGAAGTGTGTGAGCAGACTAAATATTAGTGATAACGGTGAGTGGTATTAGATTTGTATCTTATTTGGCAGGAAACTCCTCAGATCTTTTGGTTCAGTTGTTTTCCAATAAACGAAAATGTTGCTTCTCTGGTTTCAGGATTTGAAATGGACTTGATCAGAATACTTGAAAAGATGTCCTCAAACAAAGCGTTGAAGTATTTGAACCTTGGACAGAACACGAGACAGCGGTAAGGTTTCTGAACCCACCAACAAGTACTTGAAGCATGTTAGTTTCTTACTTTAGGTCTCGTCCACACTACGCCGGAGAAATTTGAAAACTTTTTTTTTCACCCTGAAAACTCGTCAAATGATTTCCGTCTACACTACACCAGAGAAGTTTAAAAACGCAACAATCATCGGTCAGTTTGGAAAACTTTGGCAGGGAAATCACATTGTTTTCGAAAAGCTCCGTTTTCAAAATGTTTCCCGTCTTTCTCCGGTGTAGTGTGGACGGAAATCATTTGATGAGTTTTCAGGGTGAAAATAAATCGCAAAACCGGCGTTTTCAAATTCCTCCGGTTTGAAGAGCGTTTTCGAAAAGCTTTGTTTTCGTGACGGATCAGTGTAGACGGTAGGATTATTCGCAGAAATATAGCTGCGTTTTCAAATTTCTCCGGCGCATTGTTGACGGTTCCTTAGACTCAATTTTGAAATGGACACCTATATTGGCTGACTGATGTAATGTTACCCTCAAGTTTAAGAGCATTCACGTCAAAACTGTTTTGCTACAGTGCCATTCTTTTGGTGAAGTTGTTGTTTTTTTTCAGTGGACTTTGACTCCGATTTTGGAGGAAATAATAATTTTTGTCGGAATCTCGCAGCCGGTGTACGTTACGCTGGTTGCTGTTCTCGGTTTAAATCTAATCAGTAGTTTTTGATAGTCACACATGTAATTATTAACTTGGCTATTCTTTGTAGGAGTTCGTCTGCAGTTATGGAAGCGTTAGTTCAGCTAATATCCGAAGAAAACTCGGTACGTAAAGTCAAAACGATGAAATCACTTTATCTGTAAAATAATCTGCTTTTTGTGGCGTTTAATGTGATTCCCCTTTTTCTTTATTTTAGCACATCGAATCCATCTCTTTAGCTGAATCCAAACTGAAACAGGACATTATCCCGCTCTTAGATGCTCTCGGGACAAACGAAACGTTGAAAGAACTTGACATCAGGTAAAACTCTCAGCTGGTTCACCAAGCGTTGTATCTTGGCCTGTCTTTTTTCGTTAACAAGATCAACAAGTAGTCATTTACTAACCTTAGAACTAGTAACTACAATTGTAGCTACCCCTTAGAGGGATACTTTGCTGAGGGAAAAATGTATAAAATGAGAATTTTCTTGTTCTTGTTAACTCTATGCATGAGCTTTGTTATTATGTGGAGCACTTTTCTTTACGGTATAATGGTGGACTCTACTTGATTTTTTCAGCGGAAATCAAATGGGCGACGAAGGAGCCCGCATTCTGGCCAAGGCTCTTCAAATCAACACGAAACTCAGGTGAGGAATGCTCATACTCGATCGTCTGTTGAGTCGTAGAATTGTGAGTTACCTGTCTACACTTGTCAACATGACAAATAGAGAAGACACAACAAAAGGCAGGAGTAGATAAACAGACAGTATCTGTTTGTTTAATATACAGTTGTCGCCTCTATAAGAGTGTGAAATTCAAAATTGTCAATTAAACAACGACATATAAAAAGGCACCACTTGGAAAAAAAAACCGTGTCGTAGCTTTCCTTTGAATGGTCACAAACTAACACTTTGAACTAACAATCGACATGGATTTACTCTATACAGCTTTGAGTTACTGTTAGTGATAACCACTCAAAGAGGATAACATGAGAAACCTTTGAAATATTTAGGACTCTAGACTGGGACAAGAACGGAACAACTTACAGAGGATTTGGAGACATCGCAGCAGCTCTGGAGTGGTGAGCTTTACTCTTGTGACATTTTGTGTCTTGTAATCGTGTGTATATCTGACTGTTTATCATAATTCTAACGTTCAAGGCTGTCTTTGTTTCTTGTAGTAACCATACGCTGCTGTCCATGCCAATGCCTCTACACGATGCTGCACAGTCGCTTAAACCACAAACAGAGCAGCACCTGAGAAAGGTTAGTGTTAAGTTGTCAGCTTCTCTTAAATGCTTCTGTGGTTTTTATTGTAATAAAATTGTAATAAATCCAGTATGAAACCAATACTGAACAAACAGTGTGATTCAAATCGCGTTAAATTATTTGTTTAGGTCAGTTCTTTAAAAGCTTGTTAGTATTGTTTTATTGTCTTGTAGTTTTAGGTCCCTTTTTATCTTCGTAATTATTTTTATCACTTATCTTACATATTTCATTGCATTCTACCGTTCGTGACATTTTAAACTCTTTTCTACTGTTAAAAACGTATTGATGCTACTTATAATTTTTTTTACTCGCACTTGAAAATGACCTCGGAGAGGTCGAAACGTCATGACTTTTTATCGCTAGTTTTTATTCCAAAATTCCAAAATTCCAAAATTCCAAAATTCCAGTATACAGTGTAGTATTTCCTCCTCCTTTGTAGTGGAGGTCTGACTGCATGCTCACAACATGATTGATTTTCCTCACTTGCTTTTGCTTTTGTTTATTTTGTAAGAGAGTAAAAAGCTGCAAGGTAAATTGAAAGATAGTGGGGTGCCCAAACATTCAAACGGCATTTCAAAACCTTTACATCTAATTTGTCCTTAATATTATTGGATGACGTTTAGTGCTTTACTATAGATCGAACAGTTGTTACTCAGGAATCAATCGCCTCACAAAGTGGTTACAGAACAGGCGTACAGATTGCAACAGGGTTTGCTACTCACATCCACACAGCAACAGGTACGAGTGAAACTATTTCTTTGCACTTTCATATCATTGTAGTCGCGAGGCAAGCATCTGTTTTTCGAATCAAAATGGTGAACTGAACCCGAGGTTTTCATCGGCGTATCTTAACAAGAGGCTCCTTATAAAAGGGACATTTCCTGGTCAGTGTTACGTAAAGTTGTCAACTAACCACTGAAACGTTAACACTAGTACTTGAAAAGGATTTGTCATGAACCTGTAACGCTGACAGTCTAGACAGTTAGAGTTTAGATTAACATCTCAGGTTACACCGTTACACGGCTCTTTTTGGCCTTTTAGATGGTAGATCGCCTGGTGGTTCAGTTACAGGACCTTGTGAGTGCGCTCCGACTCTGCAAGGACCCTGACGTAAAGAACGAGATCAAAACTGCTAAACACTGTATACAAGATGCAGACAAGCTCAAACAGGTTTGGAAACCTCAGCATTTGAACAGTTAACACTTTATTTTGCGTATGGTAACCTATCGAGATATCAACGTGTTTCGCAGTAGGTATATGGCAGAATCCAAACCCAAGTATTGTAGCGATTAGGACCACCCTATACAACAGACGTTTTAAACATTGCAAAAGTCATACCAATTTACTACTTGCAACAGAATTGATAGACCAATTATTCAAACACCCTAGAGTAACTGCGTCTTCAGTAGCTGTTTCACTCTCAAAAGCTAATATTTGATCTTGCCTTATTTCGTTTCATTTCATTTCATTACATTTTATTTCAAGTTTGATTCTTGACCTTGATACTTCCGAGAGTGAGAGGGCTGAGGATGTCTATATTTACAACAACGATTTCACCGATTTCTTGAACAATACAGCAGTCTCACTTTACCCTTAAATGTGTTTCAACAGCTGTTGCTAAAGTTCCATTTGTGTACAAGTGACAGTGACATAGAGGCCCGATTTGCTGAGCTTGCGAGCGACTTTTACAAAGCAGCTGAGGATAAAATGAAGGTAATAAAGAAAGTAATATAGTTGTTCCTATTCATCGTCAGTAGTTGCGATCCATCTGAACAACGGCCCAAATTTACGAGTTCTTAAAGTTACTTGCATGGCTTTAAGACCCGACTGGTCATAGCTTGGGACTTGATAGGTGCGTCAGCGTCTTGGAGACTTGCTTTGTTGCCATGAAGTTTATTATACCCCTTTCGAGTATTTTAACGGGTGCAAATTAGGCAATGCAAGTAGCATGTAGGTTGTTTTTTTTTTTAATTAGTTACATGCCAGCTTCTAGTCTGTGAAGAAAATGCTACTGCCATGAACACAGTTACGAGACAGTGTTATAAGTCCTGGTCACGTTACGGGTGCAACACTGGATGCAGCATTTATGTGCAACTGTTCTAGAGGGCGTGGCCACACGTTGCAACAATCCCTGCAATATTCGGTGCATTATTGTTGACGGTGCGACAATGCCCAAGTGCGTACATTTCTAAAATCAAAAGGCGGCGTTAGGCAAAGAAAAAAATATCCATAGTTGACCACGGTTGTCGTTCTCTTGTACTCGAGGTACTGGTTGAAGGATGCTGTTTGCGTTGCATGTTCGTGTTCAGTGGTCATAGCACACATACACGTTTTTCGCATTATTGCCCAAGTTCAACGCCTTTCTACGTATGATTTCTTTTCAGAGCAACATGGACACGATGATCGATTGCGCAAAAGAACTTTGTCCTTACATCACATCTGCGGACGTGAGTAACGAGTAATTAAAGCGTGTAAGATCTCAGATGTAGAAGACGTTCTCAAGCAATTTCCGTGTTGTGGTGAAACAAGTGGATGTTTGACTGAACGAGAGAAGTGCGCTTCCGGTTTCTATTGCTGTTTTAAGCTCTCCAAAAGTTTTTAAACGCTGAACTGTCCAAAGTAGAACTGACCCTTTCTCCTGGTTTGTATGTCAAACCGCTGATAACTGTGACGACAGTTGTTCCTTCTTTAAAGAACCTTTATCACGGATGCCGTATCGTGGGGAAACTTCAGCCTTGTTTGTTCAAGTTCGGTTATTATGATCCGTCCCAGTCCTTCTCAGTCCTTACAGTCCATATTCATATGTCGTTTATCATTATCTCTTTGTATGAGTATTCTATGCCTCCCTTGGTTAAATATTATTTTACCAACAACAAAAATGACGTGATATATTGTGACACAGTGCAACAAAAATAAATGACATGTTATAGTATTGAGCCTTTCATATCGTTTGTATGCCTTTGACAACAGTCAGTGCCGTAGCTAGTAACATATTTGACCGCAGACTCAAGTGCAATAACAGTTATTCGCCTTTGAGTTGCTATATCTTTCTAACGAGAATCCCAGTCTTGCACTAATATTTTTGAAGAGAGATCTGTTACTAGTTAATTCAATTATATACCGTCCAGAATGCTAGGGTTATCAAAGTCCTGTCTTCTGTGTTGTTTCTAGGACGTGAAGAGCCGTCTACAAGCTGTTGTACAGGGCAAGTCAAGTATAAATGAAACATTTGTGGAGGAAGTGATACTCACTCGAGCTGCTGCGGGTATCGCCAATAGGTTAAGGTCAGTAATACACACATTTTGACTTATCTGCGGTAACAAGTCACATGTCATCGAAGTTCCTGTTCTAGTATGTTCTCTAGAAGTGAAGTGAGCAACTAACCCACCCCTTCCTCGCGGTGTTACTTTGCAGTGAAGACAAGCTTACAGTGGCTTCTGTCATGGCCGACACGATCATGGAGATGGTGATACATCAACTGGAGAACAGCGTCAACAAACTGGTGAGTGACACCTCAAGAATTATACACACAATCACCGACGAGCCTCACACAAGCGGGATCTTAAAACTTTGGGTGCATTTGCTCGTGTTACGCATCTCACTGTTTCAGAGAATCTGGTTCTTGCAATCATGCGTGTGTGGCTAGCGTAATCAAATATAACGTGACAATTTAACTTGCTGTTTATGTGTATTTTACACCTACTCGGAGGATCTTGATGCTAAATAGCTCGATGTAACTTTCGCTTCAAGGAAACGTTTCCTTATAAGCGATTTGTCACGTTGGTTATATTCGTCAATTCTGTCTGGAAAATTTCGGGAATATTCACGCATGAGTACAATGCACAGGGTGGCAATGATGTTCAAAGTCTCATTTAGAAATCCAGTTTAATATCAGCGGACCTAAGTCCTTTCATGAAAGGTCCGGAAGGCTATCTGAAAGAACGAAATTTGTGCTTTAGCAAAGGCTCTGAAGAGGACAGCGAACATAACGCAAACATGACTTAAGTCACGCGGCGAGAAATAAAAGTGAGGAAAATTATGAAACTTGACAAATATTCTTTGAACAAGGCAAAGAAGAAAGAAATAAATAAATAAGTAAATAAATAAATAAATAAATAAATAACGAAAAATATTCTTTCATTCATCAGTTTCATCCTGTGAATTGGCTGAAAGTTTACGGTAAAAGCGTAATTGCAATGATCTTTTTATCAGTAAACTTATTGTTCATCGTTTTTTTTTTTTGTTTTTTTTTTTTTTAAATGACTTAATCTGTCGTGCGGTTTTGCAGCGTAAATGTTCAGCTACACTACTGACGGAAATGAAGGAATTCACCAGCAGAAAATATTCTCTCCAGGAAAAAAAAATGTTAACGGCACAACGTTACAAACAGACATTGTGTTAGGTCATGATACAGTGCATCATCTAGAAAGTATTACATTAGGTACAGTCAAGTGCATTTCAGAGAATATTATTTTGATGTATCACGAAATTCTCCCCAGTAACTTGAAGCAAATCTCAGACATTCTGTACGGAGAATTAACATGTCGAGCTTACTTAACAGGAGTTACTTCTGAATGACTATCGAAGCAAAAAGGAGGACAAGGACACGGAGACTGAAAAGAGCGCCGAGGAGGACGACGTGGCAGCGGTAAGACACCCTGGGCATGCGTAATCAGTCAATAATTTCAGTTACTAAGCCAGAGGGGTTTCAGTGTTTTTAGTAACGAGGGAGTTATGATAAGGTGCTGATTATGTTCGCGCTCGCACGTTTCTCAGTTATTTAACAAATTGACGTCAGTTGTTTAGGCGTCTGTCCTCATAATGATGATAAATTGCGTCATAAAGCCCTGGCCAAACGGAGTCGCAAGTAGACGCATATTCTCAACTTGCGTCTACTTGTGACTCCGTTTGCCAAGGCCTTGCGTGCACTTGCGTTGACTTGCGATAACTTGCGCTCACTTTGGTCGAGATCAAATTTTCACGCAAGTCGACCCACGTTTTTCACCGTTTGGCCACCCAACCCAAGTCAACGCAAGTTGAGTGACGTCCATTAACCTATTATCAGCCAATGAAATGCAGCATATGTGTCCCTTAAAATGGGTTTTTTGCGACTTGTGTGTACTTGCGAGGAAACTTGCGCGTCCATTTGGCCACCCAACGCAAGTCTCTACGCAAGTTCAACTTGTGGCTAGTTGCGACCGCTTGCGACTCCGTTTGGCCAGGACTTAACATTGTCAAAGTGGCCGTAGAACCACGAGCCGCAGGCGAGTGGTTCCGCAGTAAACTTTGACAATGTTGTGACGAAATTTATCATCAATAAGAGGACAGACGCTTAAAAAACTGACGTCAATTTGTTTTTCACAATAAGAAGACCCCAAAATGGTCCAATGCCGGGAATAAATGAGGGGAAAAGACGCCGTAAACAAAGATAAGTGAATTTTATTCAAAATGACGCGAACATTGTCAATACCTTTTCTCGCTTTTGATTGGCTTCTTGAAAAAGTCCATAAAATCTCATTGGTTTAGAAGTTGACAGTTTGACAGCTGAAAGTTGAACTTGAAAGCTTGCATAAATTAAAATTTTATCCGTCTGTACTCTTATTGATGATAAAAATTAGTCAATCAACGCGCAACAAATTAGACAGTTATGGTAAAAATAATAAATGGATAATGCCATAAAAGCTCGAGGAATTAGGATTTGCACTGCCCGTGATAGAGCGGTTTTCAATTGAGAATTACGTTGTTTTTCGTTTTGGTTTTGGTTTTAATACGGTTTGAGATTGGCTGAGAAGTCAAATTAATAAGTAATTGGTTTGGTTTGAGTTTTATAACACTCAGTGGAAAACCGCTCTATTTGAAAATTGATTTCTTTCAATTACGCTCGCTTTAAGCCTCGTGCAATTTGGAGAAAATTTTCAAATATCACTCGTAGTGGAAGTCCTTACTAGTAATTGCACTCGCATTCATACGATTACCTATACTAATTGTTATTTTATGGTACCAAGATGAAAAGTTGAAAAGTTGAAAAGGGTATTTTGCACTGATATCGCATATATTTATATCAATTGAATCTCGTGTGTCTTTTTATATCCAAGAAGGACCTTGAAACTGAATCTTCGAGATTCACGTCTTCAGAAGAACCATAGTTTGATTGTTCTGCACGGGACGGTTTATGCGTGTGTAATTTACATGCAAGCTCATTTCTCTGGCCAATCTCTTGAATTCACCCTTTCCGCCTCAGCAACCTGCTCGTTGCAAACTCGACATATATTCTGCCTTTACTAACTAATTCATTCCTGGTTTTCCAGGTGGCTAAAAAAGCTCGAAATCGCCTTAGCACAGCCCAGCTGACGGTGCCCGTGACAGACGGAACAGATGGCCCAGGTAAAAGGAGCGGCAAGAGGAGGCCTACAATCAACAGGCGTCCGTCTCCCAGAGGAGTCCCTGAAGAAGACGAACAAGACAACAAAGAAGAGGTCCCGGTCGTAAAGGTGGCCAAGGAAGAGGTCGACGAGGCGCCTTCAGCGACTCTAGTTGTGCCAAAAAATGTTGGTACGTTGAACGTGGTTCTGAACCCCATGTACAGAAGTTTTTGAAACTTTGCAAAAAGTTGCATTTTATTCTTCTTATCACAATTCTATGATAAAAATTGTTTCACCGCGCCGTTTTTAGAAATATAAGTACTTAAAGCTACAATTAAGGGTGTATTCAGCAGGCCGTACTGTTGCTATGGTAACATATAGTGTCACGAAAATGAGGGCAATGATTGGGCAGTTTTTTTCGATACCCTGATTGTAGCATCATCTGATGAAGACTGGTTATAGTGATCCATCAAAATATACGTCCTGGATAGTGCTGGGAATCGTTTTGTGTAAGTGTAGGTAAACTGTTACTGGGGCAGTATTTTATTTAATTTTTTTTTTTTTTTTTTTACCCTTTTGTTTAACTTACTTTGGTGCATCATTCCAGTCTTCACCGACATAGAGATGAAGGGCTCGGATTTGAAGCACTTGGTCAAGGACCGTGCTCGACCCCCTCAAAAAAGGCGCCTACCCACCCGTCCCTCAAACAGACCAACTGCGGCTAAAGACTCTGCCAAGGAAGAGAACAACGAAGAGGAAGATATTGAAGTATTTTGGAGCAAGACGGTAGAAGAGTAAGCGTGTTTCCTTTGTCTCTTTCCCTCGAAACTCGTGACATTTGGCAAGAAACGTTGGCGCGACAGCTTGTATAGAGCAACTGAGTTTGGAACGGAATTATGGTGTGTAGAAATATAAGAAAGGTTTTGGCCAGTCAGCTATTTTGGAAAAACTGTGTCTGAGATCTTCGCAGAAGTGTCGAAGATGTTTACTGCGGACCTGATGAAGAATAGAAGAGCTTGGTCATTTAACTATCGCTTGAAATACGAGAGTGAAGTGACTCCAAAATTACGGTTTTATGAATTCCACTAGTATATGTTTCCGTTTGTCCAAGCTTTATATATCAAGACGTACTTCGTTTTTAATGAACATTGCAAGGTTGAATTCGACGTGAACTATCATAGTGAACCTCATGTGTAACCTCTGATTTCCCAACTGGTTTGGAACAGCAGTAACAACAGCCATGTTTTAAAATCCCCATCCGAGCTGTTTCTTCAATCATGCTCTTTCTTTTTGCAGGCCGAGCGTGGTAGTCACGCCAGAGAAGAACGCAAAGAAGACATCAACATCTAAACCACCCCCCTCGACTGTCACGCCTCCAAGCAAGACCACTCCCCCCAGACCTGCAACCAAACCAAAACCCTCACCCAAGCCAAAAGACAGCGAGGTAACGGGATTTAGTGATAACTGTAGAATTAATGAAGGAACGCGTCCCTTTAGATTACCGTATACCTTTAGAGGTTTTTCGCCTCCAAGCGATGTAGCGCGTCCGGTTTAAAGTTTAGATACGTAAACCCCTATATCAAATTAAACTTTATAGAGTTGGTTATCAAACTATACCAAGAATTTTGAAATAGAATGAATTGTCGAATGACCTCTACAGACCTCTACGTATCTGCAGTTAAAACGGAAAGCGTTGCTTGGACGCTAGGCATTTCTAAAGGCATACGGTAACTTTAAGAACCAATTATCAGAAATGTTACGACCGTGTTCGTACTCAGCTCTACCATTAGTAACAACGATTCGAAACCTACAATATCTTTACCCAGTGTTTATCCCGTAATTAGCGAGTGAAAAGTTCTCGTACCCTTTAATTCCTAACTAACGACCATCGCAGATGAACGACTAAATGAAAGTAGCGATTGTCTCCAGAATTAACTAGAACCCCTGGTAATAACTGTAACATAAGGTAGTGAGCTCAATTGTTCGCCAATATGAATGTTTGTAATAAAGCAATCTATATTAAAAAGTAATGTAATTAAACTTTGTCAGCGGTAGAAAGCTGTTTTCTTGCTTAACATTCGAGTGAAATTTTGTCTTAACAGGAAAGCAAAAAAACTGGCTGGATACACAAAGGGTAAGGGTAAAGAGACTTGTTTGATGTTATTTCTTGCATGTTGTTTCCGAGCGATGCCCGGCGATCACTCTGCGAAGGCGCTTCAATCCGGAATAGGGTATCTTTTTCATACAAAAAGCTACCTATTTCACACAGCTACAGTAGAAATGCTGCATCCCTTTACCATATTGATAATCGAGCATTTTTTGCCAACATTTCGTGCGAGTAGCACCTTAAAATACTCAGTAGTTGATTCACCTGCTAGTTGCGTACGTTCTCGATTTGCGTAAAGCCGTTTTAAGAAGATAAATTACAGTTTTCCCACCCTTTGTCACAGTTTCTACAGTAGGAAACGGCATTTTGAGGAGTTTGTATTTCTTCCTTAGGGGTATTAGCCTTCCAGGATTTTTAAAGAAGAAACCAAGCAGGGACCGTGCTTCAACAGCGCCGGGTTCAGAATCGGCTTCCACATCTTGGTACACTAACAACGGTAAAGAATTTTAAAATTAAGTGATGTCCTTATACCTGTTATTGCACTAGTTTGTGGAATTTTCAAACCAAGTCACTTAGAAGAGACGGTCTACATCCGATGCATTTATCGATGCAAAATCTAAACTGCTCTAAACTCTACAAAGATGCTCTTTCTTTGGAGTTACCACAGCTTCGTGGAACATCTCTGAATTGTACAAAACACAAAGCATTCTATCAATCATCCGTATTCCATAAGGAATAATTAATCTTCAAGATTAATGCGAAATCGAAGTAAACGAGATGTGAAGTGAGTATTTCTGTGTGTATTTCACGTTGATGTACAAAAGCAGCAGAGGAAAATCGTGGATGCGCAGAAGTTTTTTTGCATTCTCGAAAATCCTGCGCCAACAACTTTATCAGATTTTGTAAAGTTGTTTTGCTTAGCCTATCCTACAATTCCGTCTGATTACTTCGAAACAAGGTTGATTTGAACGAACGTCACTGCAAACCACAGCTTAATTGAACGGTTTTTTCCTTGCTCAAAAGATGCCGCTGTATTGCGTGTTTATTGGGTTTGCATTGTTGTCGTAGAGAGAATAGGAGTGTTTTCTTCATTTTGGAACTAATGGCACTCGCTCCTTTTGGATTTCAGAGGCTGAAAAGAAGAAAAATACAGATTCCCGAAATGGAGCTCCCTCTAAGGAAGAAACAAAGGTTTCCAAAGAGAGGCTTCCCTCTGAGAAGAAATCAGAGCCACCCAAGGAAAGGGTACCCTCTGAGAAGAAGCCAGAAGCACCCAAAGAAAGGGTACCCTCTGAAAAGAAAACGGAGGTGTCCAAAGAAAGGTCACCCTCTGATAAGAAGAAAGAAGCACCCATAGAAAAGGCGCCTTCTGCGAAAGAACCAGAGAAGGCTCCTTCAGAGAAAAAAGAAGAAGTACCCAAACAAACGACCGTTTCTGATAAGATACCTGAAGTGAAGATAGATCAGAAAACTGCTGAGGAAAGTGAAGCCGTTTCTAGAGAAAGAGTATCCTCGCAGACAAAACGAGAGAGGACGCCTTCGGCAGGTAAACCGGAAGTCGCAAGACCAATCATTATGGGGGTAAAGCCATTTGCTCTTCCGCGTGATAGGGTAGCTACAGAGACGGCTTCTCGACCGCCAACCTCCCAACCGCGCGATAGGGCGTCCTCGGCTGAAAAGGACGTTGCGAAGCCGGCCACCCCGGAAGAACCTGCTAGACCGCGCGGACCTCCCAAATTTGGAATTGGGATAGGCGGGGCAGCAGGTGGAGGGCTATTGGCTGAAATGAAGATGAGGCAAGAGAGGGCGGCTAGTTTAGGAAGGGTGAGTTATCCTGCGATATTCAGACACCACATTAGTATACCCAGAATTTATCAGGAGAAGTAAGGGACTGTGGATAGTGATGAATGAATGTTTTGCAAGTTTGTGTGTTCTGTCTGATTTTATTCTGATTTATTTACGACGGTGTGCGATAGGAATATTCCAATCAAGAAGCAGTTTTGGATGAGGCCGGTGGAGTTTTTTTCTTTTAAGGCGTTAGCGTTAGAGAAAACTTATTCAAAAATAAGAAATTGCCTGAATAAATGTATGAATATAATCTGTTTCACCAAGGTATTGAGGTATTGTCTAGCATCCCTTCCCCTGACTCAGAATCCATACTTACAGTAAAGTTAATGTGTTCACTGTTTGCGATATTTGATTTTTTAACAGAACAAAGCGTCAGACAAGCCAGCCGAGAGCAAACCAGTCGAGCTAGGAAAGGAGACCAACGGAAATAAAGAGACGGATGCGGAAGTCACGAAGGAAAAACTTGTGAAACCGTCGTCATTGAAGAGGCCCAGGCTACCGTCCGGTACTCCGCCAAAACCCGCTCCACGGCCTGCTAAGAAAGATCTCAAGAGAGAAGCGCAAGAAGAAAAGAGAGAGGAGAAGGGAGAGGAAAAACCGGCGGTGAAGAAAGAAGATAAACCGGAAGAGAAAAAGGAGGAGAAACCGGAAGTGAAGGAAGAAATAAAGGCAGTTAAACCGGAAGAAAAGAGAGAGGAAGAACTGGCCGGGAAAAGGGAGGAGCAAACCTTGACAGCGCAAAAGAAAGAAGAAGCAGTGGAAGATAAAGAGAAAATCGTAGAAAATGTTTCAGTTGAAGAAGTAAAGAAAAAAGAGGAGGAAACGAAAAAGGAAGAAACAGAAGCGAAAGAAGGGAAGCCAAGTACAGAATTGGAAAAGCCAAACGTGAAACAGAAGTTAGAAGATGTTAGCGCCGACTCTGGAGTAAGCAAAGAAGCAGAAAGTGTGGATGGAAAAGTAGACAACGGAGAGACACATCACATAGAGAAGGGAGGCGATAATGAAACAGCTGTAGCAAAAGACGATTTATGGGTAAAGCGCGACTCTGGCAAAGAAGCGCTTAGACCAGGTGGTCGATCAATGTCGCTGAAGATTCAACGAAGCACCTCTGGCACAGAGAAGGGACAAGCGGCTTCGGTGCGGTCAGCTACTCTACCCAAACCCTGGTCCCCCGGGCAGGCACCCTCTAGCATGCTGTCCAGAAAGTTAAGCTGGGAAATGCCAAAAGCCGGCGGTGAGGATGCTGTTAGAGGGGCAAAGAAAGAGCGAAGTGGGAGTAACAGCGAAGAACCCATCCCAGAGGATTCAGAGGATCAAAGTCCGTAAGTATTTCACCCCATTTCCCTGTAGTGCAAAACCAAATATTTTAGTCTGCACTGTAATAAACGTTCATTGTTCTGTCAGAATAGAAGAGACGAGAAGTTACCACATGTAGTATTATTCCTTATTCGTTGGCTTTACGTGGGACATATTGAACACCCTCCTCGGCGCGTACTTGTGCAAATCAGTGTTCCAAAGTCGTTACCGCCTGGGAGTAGGCTCGCGAGGACGTGGGAGGGGAGGGTGGGAAGTTTCACATTGGTGTTTATAAGTGATTAACAACGAGGGATTAGCGCGTACGAGGTGAAGGGGGTGTAGAGGAGTATATGTGAGAAAAGGTTATGCATAAAAACGGAAGAAATGACACTACATGCTGGATCGATGAATCGTTTTGAAGATCGAGGACAAATGACCTCTAGTAGTGACTAACTTCCAAATGCGGGAATCCGAAAACAAACAGAATTTCTAGCGTGCATCAATATGAAATGGTTGCTTGTTCATTTTCTTTCAGTTCAGTTGAAATAAAATTGCTGAGAAAATTGTATTTAGTTCTGATATTGGTGTGACAACTTTCGGAGTGATTTGTTAATGTTTCGTTTGTTTGTTTGTTTGTTTGTTGTTTGTTTGTTTGTCTGTATGATGGACTCTTGATGATCCCGCTGATTCTGTTCCTCTTTAGGGCGCCTGCAGCCCTCAAGGAAGAAGATCAAATATCACAGCAGAAGGACGAAACTAAAGCCACGACAGAAAACGGTGCTATTCCAAAAAGTCCGAAAAGTCCCGATGCAGCGACCTTGGAGAAAATCTTAACCTCTGCAGCCGATACAGTATTATAAACAAAATGTGTGAACTTATTTGAATGTTAATTAGAGCGTATTAGTTTACAACTGAGTGTAGGTGTGCTGACACAAAGCTGCCAAAAAAAAAAAAAAATTAAGATGTACATGTCTATATACGTTTATGCAGATTATTTTACAGTAACTATTTTTTATTGACAAAGCTTCTTTTTGATACAAAATTTGTCCGCAATTAGTACATTTACGTCGTTCACTGCAAGCTATATTTCGACAAACCATGTTGGTTGATTTGTAGTCTAATGGTGAAAATGTAAATCGATGGGTAAAAACGCTTGTGAAATGTTCATTTTGTTAATCAAGGGGAAAAAACAACAACAACAGTAAGTCCAACCACGGCTATTCGGAGCAGGGCAAGCTAATTCGGACTTCCTGTAACTCTGTACACTTTTACACTTACACTACTTCTAACTGTAATATAAAATTAACATAAGCAATCGCTGAAGAAGAGGAATAAAACATTGAACGTTAAGTCCGGGCTTAGCCATCCACGCAGTGCTCTAGGTTCCATGTTCAGACTGTTCACTGGCTCGTCACGGGAGGTGCATCACACAGCGTTATTGGGGAAAGCGTTACGCAACCTTGTTGCGGGAACTGACTCGTGACAAAACTAGACAGCTGCATCAGAAGGGTTTAGTTTTAAATAAGCGGGGAAGGAGTGGGGTTAAAAATTAGGCAAATTGCTGTAAATTCGGTGCTTTATATAAATTGCAGTAAAGTGTACCTAGGTAGAATATCAGTATTAGTATAAATGGTAAATTGATAATTTTGTTTGTTACTGTTGCACATCTTGGTACGTACAGTTCGGTCATTTTGCTCAACATTACCAAATGTGAACCTTGCACCGCATTTGATGAGATCAAATCCGTAGCAACTAAATAAAATCGACATTACCATTTTGTTTTGTTTTGTCGTGATTTAACCTTGTAAAACTTAAGTCGTCTGCAGCGACGGCAAAGACTGTTTCACGGAACCTTTCGCGCGCGACAAAGTAAAAAGATAAGGGGTATGAAGTGAAGTGCCGAGAGTGTGCTTGGCATGACTGTGTGCTCATTGTTTACTCGAAAAAGCGTCATATTGCGCCGTAAAATGTAACTGTTAACGGAAGCTGGTAACATTGATGCGAAAAGTGAAAAGTATTACCAACTGCGTTCGAAATATATGAGAAAACAATTCCGCGTGCCACCTTGTTTGTTTATATAGGTCATGTAGGCAGGCTGCTCCGCGGGCCTGGTGTAATCGGCAAGAACCTGTCAACACTCATGGCCAGGAGAGTAAAGAATGGGGCAATATAAAATACAACGTGGACGAAGTTTAACTTGATGTTTGTGGAATAAGCGAGATTTACCACCCGTGCGATGTACAAAGGTTGAACCAGTAAACCAACACCAAGATCAGAAACAGCAAGTCTCGGGAGCAATGTTTTTAAACGCTTTGGCAACGACGTAGTTTTTCTCATCGCGTAGATTGTTAGAATGTTCAACATGACGGCGGTGTAGGATAAGAGTTCAGAGCGGAAAAACGTACTGCGCAGCTTTGTGCGCATCCCTAGCACTGCTTACGGGCTCAGGCAATCTCGTTCCCAGAGCCTTCGTTACCCTTGTCCAGCGGAACGGGAAAGCGAAGACTTGCATCACCCTGGACAAGGAAACAATTTGTAAAATGGGGTATGGCGTCATTTCGTTGCTATGGTAACTCAAATCCTTGTGAAATGTACCCCATTTGAAACTTTAATCTTTCCCCCTGTACAGCTCTAGCACACCAATAACGTTTGATTTTCTGTTGGATCAATAATGGTGGTGCTCTAGTCGCTCAAAGTTGAACGGTATCGTCACACAAAAATCTGATCGAGCCACCTTAAATTAACTGCGCCATCATTTTTGAATTTAGAACAATTTTTTTTTGTATAACTTAATTCTTTTTTACTTCTCCCCATCTCATAATTTTTTACCGTAAAATTATTTCACGTTTCCTGCAAGACAAACTATGTGTTCTAAGAACAGTACGTGATGAGCAAAGTTCCTTGTTTGTTAATTAAGTTTTTAGGTATCGTGTTTTTGGAACAGCCACAGTTGTTTGGAGCCTTTCTATTTAAAAATTAGAGTATAGCTTTACGGATGAAGACAAGAGGCTGGACCATAAAAGCTAAACAAACTCTTGTGTCATGTTATTTGGACATGCGTCTCCAGTAGTCTGGAACCGCTTCAGTTGAAAAATTAGATGATTTGAATAGAGTTTACGGATGAAGACAAAAGTTGGACTAAGAAATGGGTAATTAGTTCATATGAGCTAGTATAAGTTCTTATGTCATGGGTACGGTGTAGACTTTAAAAACTCAGCAGAAATTAGAACGTTGCAAATCAGACATTCAGACGCTCTTTTCAATAATTTTCCTATCGTATTTTCCGCATTTATATTTGCTATAGGGGCGTTCAATTTCGTAAGAAACCGCAAACTACAATTAAAACGTTTTGCGGACTTTTTGTTGGTGAGTTTAATTGATTAATTTCAAAATAGAAAAATTGGACATGAGCAGGTTTACAGGAAGAACCTTTCTTTGTTACACGTCTTGTACGTCTTTATTTTAGCCTTTGTAACAGGCTCCGGTTATTTCAATTTACGCGCAAAATTACCTGATAAAATTGGATTATTTTCAACTTTATAATTTATAGAATAAAACCATTTTCCGCGCCTGCAGCAACTGCGTTATTCAACGTTACGATATTGGGCTTGTTGATCACGTGGTAATAGGCCACGTTCGATATATCAATATTCTAGCATGGTTCCGAGGCTTTCAGGACAGACTTCTATATTTGGTGGTGTTTTCCTTGTATCCAAGTCTCTTTTGGGAATTGAGGGACAAAAGAAACTTTAAAAAATTGCAATTTTGACCCGAAAGCCTCTAAGCCATGTTGAGTATTGATATATTGAACATGGCCTGTTGACTGAATGTGTTTGGCTCATTTGGGTGCACTGGGTTTGTTTCTGGTGCATGGTTCTTATGGTTTTCTTGGTTATTGCTAGAAATTATACAAGTACAGGGGACTTTTTATGTTGCCATGAAGTGTCTGAGGTTATTGTTCCCGGAGTTGGTCCAGAGTTACTATTCCCATCGAGATATTTTGTTGATTGTTGGTTCCATGGGGCCTTCAATTGGACCAACGTTGGTAGACTGGATCGGCCGGAGTCTCCGGCGAGGGTACAACATGAGCCATCATAATATGAACATTATATTATTATTAATACTCCATTACCAAAAATGTGATGTCAGACGTAGCTATTACACCGAGGAGCGGCTGCAAATGACGTCCGGCGGTTTTTGAAGACAATTAGACTGTTCTTGCCGTAATGATATTTACATTGAATATTGATATCTACTTCATGCCAATATGAGAATTTGCCCATCGGGTTTCAATTGCTACAGTTTCATGTAAGCATGCGCCCTTTTTGAAATTTCTTTATCCAAATATTTTATAAAGATAAATTTCTGGAGCGAAAGGAAGGGAAAAGAATACTTCACTTGAACCAACTTCACTCAACTTCACTCAACACTTCAGTCAACCAATTTTTTGATCAGGCGGGTGGCGACTGGCACGGCTTTAAGTGCTTAGGAAAGCCGCGTTACCTAAAAAAGATGAATGCTTCGTAGTGTAAGTGGGACTTGTAGAAGCCAGCGACACTTTTTTCTCTTTATATACTGAAACCATGCTGGTGGTGGGAAGGTAATCTAGATTATAGACATGATTTGCCTTGCATGACCAGCTTCTAAAGCGTATCTTTATTCATCCCAAATTTAGCTTTATGATTTACTCCCGAAGTAACATTGTAGTTGAATTTACAGTTATAACGCTTTACTGACAGAATCTTAACTTAATTTGTCACAATGTCGCAGACTGTTCTTCTAGGCGAGAAGATAATCGCACATCTGACAGGTTCTTGCACAATCTCTCTGAACGGTAGATGCTGCGCAATCGCTTGGAACCAATTGTTGGCATACTCTTGGCTTGAAATCGTAGCAGTCGGAACTCTGTCGCTGAACCCTCAAGTCTGATTCATCTGTCGAAAAAACAAAACAACAGCAGCTAGTCATAAACCGTAGACCTCCGAAAGTAACGAACCTTCTTTGGCTCTCGGGGTAAGCAGCTGTTTCCATCGCTAGCTACCAGGGCCGTAGCCAGAAAAAAAAAATTGACAGAGGCAATCATCCTTATCTAATAAACTCTCCTCTTAGGTATTTAACAGTGTTTCACTTTCCCCCTTTAAAAAGAAAAACAACAACAACAACAAAATGACTGTGGCAAGTGCCTCGGTTTGCTTCACACTGGCTATACGGTTCTGGCTACTTTTGGTATGCCGAACGCTACGTTCCTACAACTAAAACGCGGGCTATGTGTGAGCGGATTTTTCGATCATAAGAAAATAGCAATATTTTGAATAAAGTTTCCTAGAAGGAATCACTCTTTGTTTTTTGCATAGAGATCTAGAACAAAAAGGATTAAACGAGTTTTGCAACAATCAATTTTGCATCAGAAGAAAGTAATTTTGCCTTTGAGTTTCTTTTGATGTGGAATTGTCAGCTGGGTCAGTTTTGCAGTAGTTGAGCTTCCATGTCTTCTCATAACAAGTTAGGTCACTGAGTTTCTTTATTTTCGAATGTAATCGTTAGTTTCAGAGGGAATGAAATGCTCCATATAAAGGCAAGATAACCATCTGATATTTCTAACGAAAGAATTAAGAAAAAAATACCACCCAGCTAGCCTCGCCGACTAAAGTGCTGAAAAAAATAAGATCGACAGAAAACTAGAATAAAAAAAAAACTGATAAAATGACGGTTTACCTCTTCTCTTGAAATTTGGAGCACACTCCACCTCCAGAAGAATGAATGTCAGCCAAACAAGTGGGAGAAGCTTGAACATCTTGATGAACGTGATGCAAGTTCGGTCTCAGTAGAACTCAGTGACTCAGCTTCGCCATCCGTTTTAATTATGCTCTGTTTTGACCATTAGCAGGTGTAAAAAATGCCTATCCATTATGATGACGACTTATTTGACAATTAATTCCTGTAAGATAATCATCTATATTGTGATCAAGCAGCACGTGGCAGTAAATGGTTTGTAACCCAATTTTTATCCCGCTTGGTTAATCATAAGCTTCAACTTGTTGGATATGCATACAGCTGTTTCGACTAAGGTTGTCCCATAATAGCGTAAGAGCGTTCGCGACAGAGCTGATTGTTGTCGTGGGTGGTAATATTTTCGCGTTGTTTGACTGAGGTTCACAGTGTTGCAGTAACAAGAAAGGGGAACAATGAATACAAGTGTTTATGCTGTTCTCTTCTATCACGCTGAAACACCATGAGCTTTAATGTCAAGCAACCGTAAATCACACATACCCATAATACCTTTCGACGTTGTCATGTTCGTTTCTCTAAACAGCTGTTAATAACAAAATGACATAACCTTTATCAAACGCTACTAGAAAACATTCTGGAAACAAATATAATGAAACTACTGGTGAAACTGTCAGACAATGTTTCAAAATATTTTCTTCCTTAATTTTTTTTCTCCTTTGAGAGAGTCCGAATGAAGTTCATTCAATTCTTTCATTTAAATTTTTAAAAATAGATTTAAAAAAAAAAAAAAACATTTCTTGGTAGGTATTCCTTATTACAATTTTCTTTACCCAAACATACAATTGCCATAATTACCTGAAGCTATGAGGCGAGGAAAAAGCAATTAATAATGTACAGTGGCTTAAAACACTTTCGTACATTATGTTCTTATTCTATAGTCGGAACGGCGCTATATAATCGTTTTATTTTTCTTACAATTGCCCCTTGGATCTTTATTGCCCCTATATCGTTTCCCAGTTAACATTCTAAAACAATAACGTACCGCTTTTTTTTTTCAATTTATTATTTTCTCTAAGAAGACAATTTGTGCTACGGTCACAGAAATCGGCAGCAGTTGCAATTGTTTTTATCGCAGACTCGGTTTGGCTGCTGACTTAACTTGTTGTTGATAATGTATGAATCCCCCACTGAGTAAAATCGATCAAGCGATCGAACTTTTATCAAATCACCAGACATCGTGTCGATTTTACGACATAAAAAAAAATAATAATAATAAAACACGAAATTAACTCTTAATAGACTACACTCTTATACTCTTCCACTTTTATAAGAATATTGTTTTTCCGGCCGAGGCTTGATATTCTTATTTTTCTGCCGATTTTAGGCTGAAAATATTCTTGTGAATATTTTTAGATTATAGCGTATGACATTTGTGCTTTCGAATGTATTTGGTGTCTGGATGGAGTTCAAGTAATTTTGGAGCCAATCTGCAGGGATTAAAGCCTGATAGGACGCATATAATTTCTTACAGAAATGTTATTAGTATCGAAAATATGGCTAGTGCTGTTGTTGTTGTTTTTTTTTTGGCTTGTTTTGTCGTTCAGAGAATGGAAGTATTTTATACGGTTTAGTCAAAAGCGTATAATTTATATTTACAAATTTTTAACGCACAAAGTTACATTCTTTTTAAAACTCAGCTTCGGGTTCATTCTTAAAATATTCTGAAAATTTCGCAAATTTCAGCCTCGATATTCTTATAAAATACATTCTTATAAAAAAAAGGGTTTAAATCTTCCCAGTTAATCGCTGCTGATTGCAATAGCAAACTGCTATATATGTGGCAATTTTTGTAAGTTTTCATAGTTCTACCACAGCTGGTGCTTTACAGACAACCATGCCTAGTGTCTTCTGAATCCTTTGTTTGACAGCAGTTTTAAGTGATTCTTGTCTCGTCTGTTCCACGCAGCTAAATATATAAGGACAATAAAAGTAAAGATATTTCGTATTTTGCAAGAATTAAACAAAATAAGTTGTAAATTATTTTTTTAAACATATACAGGCAAAAACTAACGATAGATAAATCCGACGTTTCGGCGACATCTTGGCGCCNCAATATTCCTCGAACTCAAAGGCAGCGAATTTAATTTAATCCGTGCACTTAAAAAATAAAAACTTTGGTTCACGAAATCGAGACATCCTAAGATATATTCAGTTTTTTTGGGCAGTTCCCCTGCCATTACTCTTTAACTAACGTGACATGCTTCCTATATGTCACTAGCAGCTTCTTGAACAATTTATTTTTGGCAAATCTCTCTTCACGAGTCTTTAAAAACTTCATATTTTTTCCAGACGAATAACGCATGCCACAAGCTGCACAGTTCTTGTAAATTCGTGTTAAGGTGTGGCTCAAGCTGTTTGAGTTGGGTGTGTCAGGCTAAGAGAAGGCTGTTTGATTGACACATGTTAAAAGTGATTGACAGCTGTGGTCTCTAATATATCAACTGATAATAAAAGGCTCAGTTTCGGGTATGAATAATTCACAATTTACTTGGTATAAACACAGTTCCGTTCGTACGTCTCTTTTTAAGATGTTACTAAACACAGTTTCTCAACGAGTTAGTTATTGTTCGCTTCAACTACAGTAACTCTTTTCTCTTCGTACAACAGTAAATTCTTTTGCCGCTGTTTGCTTGCACGAAAACAATTGAGAAATTTTCTCGTTTGTGTAGTTTTTTTGATTACATGAATATATGCATTTTTTTTCTGTTGACGGTTTTTATCAGTCGTTATTTTGGTTCTCGAGTTTTCGCTTCCGAACGCGCTGATGAACTCAGAAATTAGTGCCACAAGCCTTCGATCGGAGTATTTTTTCAGATACGACGTGTTCTGAATTAAAAGAATGGCTAGCCGTGTTTCAAAACAAGCGTGATAATTCTACACACTTGTTGCTTTCGTTAAGTGTTTTTTTAATTTTTCACTTGGAAAAAATTTTGTCAATTATTTATGACTCAGTTGGAGATAGGCGGCCAGATGGCTTCTTAAATTTAGGCATTAACAGAGTCATTAATTTTATCTCCCAATTGTCAGACAAAATAACAAGAAGCAGGGAGATTTAAGCCTTCAAAGATGAATACATTTCGCCATCATAAAAGAAGGATGAAAAGCGAACGGCAGCTGGCTAAATAATGATCAAAGTCGACGCGAGAATTTGAAGAGCTTGCGTCTAAAAGTTTCGGAAGTCATCATGTACAGTTGTGAATACATCGATTGTTGTGTCTTGAAATACACTTTGAGTTTTTCCTTTATTTCCGCAATGGGAAAACAGAGCAGGAAAGAACCGCTTTTAATGTTATTGTTTGAAAACTTTTGTAATCGCTGAAATATACAGAACTGTAATATTTCTTCTAAGTGTGAAAGGCTTAGCCGAGGTTTCCGTTCCGTTCTTTCAGTCGTTAATTTTTACTTTTTGTTCATGAAGGAGATCAAGATCAAAATCAGGCTGATATTAAGTCTAAAGAACGAGGGAATAAGTTTCCTTCAACATTTATCGCAGATTACTGTGCCTCTCAAACATCCTGGAGACGGTAATTTATTCAGTCGCTCAGAAACAGCCGTAAGCTATGTAATTAATTACCGCAATGTATTCAGAGGGGAGCAAATAACGCAACAAAAGCAGAGAGTGTGATATGACACAAAATAAATGCAGCTATTCTGTGCTTTTCCGAGTGCTAATGGCGAGGGAAACAGGCATTGAAAATACGTCACCAGGGAAAATTAAGTTCTTGTTACGTTCAAAGTGAATTCCGTACTTTTGACATCTTCTCCGGCACATTTTATACCTTCATAATTGCGCAAGCGATTTTAGCTTTGCCCGGCTGCAAAATTTGTCTTGTGAACTAGCGTCCAAAATTCGAAGTGGAATGTTTACTGTCAGCCAAAGAAGAGATTTCTTCTCACTCTCTTTCAAAAGGGGCATTTTTTTCGTTTGTCTTTGATCTCCAAGCGACTTTGACCGCAAATTATCATAAAAATAAAACTACAAAATGTAAAAATAAAGAAAAAAAAAAAACGTGGTGCTAGCTTAAAGGTGCAACTTTTTGTGCAAGTTTACAAAGTCTTTCTCTCTTGTAGTAAAATTGTACAAGCGCTTTTAGGTTTTTTTTAAATCTCTTAGCAACCTCAACCGCTGATTATTACAATGTAGAAAAATAACCCACGCGGTGTAGACCGTATGCATCTAAATTTAGCTCTTTATTTCGAAGCAATTTTGTTCTTACCGATGAACGATTCCACTTTGATGCATGTGGTACAACGCGGAAATGAGCTGTCTCATGATCGGCCTGGCCTGTGATTCGCTCAATTTCGAGTCATTCTGCCGACGCAAATAGCTCAGTAACTCGCCTCCGGGAACATATTCGGTCACGATGCAGTAAATAGAGTGCTGTTTGAGGGTTTCGTACAATCGGACAATGTTGGGGTGATTGACTTTCTTCAGGAGCAGCGCTTCGCGTAGGATGTTTTTCCTGACGTATTCATCTTTGATTTTACGTGTGTCTATGACTTTCATCGCTACCTAGGAGACAGATTTATTATTACCAAGCTGAGTTAAATCGGCGGAAAAACAAAAAATACTCAATAATAAAACAACGCACCCCGAGTAATTAAACCATTGAATAATGCCCAATCTCCACACCCACAGTGCGTAACAATAGTTGTAATTAAGCCACTGAACAATCATATGTCGCTGGCTTTGAAATCAAAAGGCAATCCATGGACAAACCTTGGTTTTGGTGATGCGATTCGTGGCTAACTCGACGTAGGCGAAGTTGCCCTTGCCCAGCCGATTTCCAGTCAGATCGTACGTTCCTATACGTTTTAGAACGAAGTTGCTGGAATCGGTCATAACAGCAAATAATAGTCACTTCAGGTAGCGTGCAAAGTGGCGCATTTGTAAACAGGAAAACCCCGCGACATTGCAATTTACAATCGGCATGTGCGATCAGCGCGGATCAACCAATCGACGGGTGGAATTTTGACCGCACGCGCCAGCCATTGTTTTGTTATTGTTGACGATTGTCTGAAAGCGGCTCTCTGATTGGTCGGAGAACAAAGAGGCACGTTCTGACGCGTGCCTTGCTGTATGGCCGCTCTTGCGAAAGCCAACATTTGAAAAGCGGAGTTTCGCGTCCACTGCAAACACACGCTAATTCGTGTCCCCACGAGATCTTTTCTTTTTTTCGCTCCAAATGGCTGCAAATTAGCAGTTGAATACGTCAATATCCGCTGGAGGAAATACGCACGAGGCATAATTTTGTATTTGAAAATAGGTAAACACTACCTCGTGTTGGGTTTTTTTTATTATTTTGTGCAGGCGGCTGTGTTGAAATACGCTTGCGTGTTCTGCACGCTGGCTGTGCTTGCGCGCGAGCTGTTAGTTTTGATGAGATTGTTGTTTTTTTATTTGAAATCAAACCTCGTGATCTGCACCTAGCCTCCATGGTCCATTACGATCACATAAAATATTTATGGCGGCGCTAAGTGGACACGTTTTAGCAGGGAAAAACCCAAAGCTTCCTTCAACAGATCAAATATCATTTTAGGAAACGAAATCGCGCGCTCTCTAAACCGTTTATTCAACCTCGTGAACTCCCATCCGTAGAATACGTTTAAGGCGGATTATCCTGACCAGCTAATCAACTCTGATTCAAATTTAAATGCCTTGGAAAGCTCCGTTTAAAATATGCAGTCAAAAAACAGATGCACTAGCGTCCTACCCCGCCCAAAATGACAACTGACGCGCTATCTTTCCTCGTCGAAAACTCTCGATTTTCATCGGCGCAATAATACCACGTTGGCATAATATAGTATTAATTTGTTTTTCTCTTCCCCCCTTAGAATACAAGTAACCTAACTCAAACTACCCGCCGCAAGTTCTATTCCACCGTCATAAAAAATTCAGTTTGCTCAACGATGCGTAGAACGCTAGCAGCTAACTAAACACCGTGTTGCAATTTTTGCGGCAGTCATGAATTTTCTATTGCAGGCGAAAACGCGAAACAGTCATTGACGTCTCAGTAAAGATTACAGTTATTTGGCTTTCGCAACTCGGTTTTTTAAACAGTTGTGCGCGAGGTTGCCATGCGTGTTTAGCGCGCGCGCGTGAGAAGAATAAACACACGGAGTTTAAATTTTCATAATAATGGTATTATAATTTTCTCTTCTTCAATTTCAATTCACTTTAAAACACGCTCCTCAGGCCGAGGAAAGAGAGAAATTTAGTAAAAATACAACACTTCAGGGAACTATTAAATTATTTAGAATCCTTTTTTTGTACAATTATCGTAATAAAAGCTCTCTAAAACGAGAATACATCCGTCGATACAAAAAAACGAAATAAACTTCTTCGGTCGAAAAAAATATACACAGAAAAGCGTGTCCATAGCGGTTAGAAAAGTCGAAGGTCCAAACAAGATCCTGGAAATGTCTCAGTGTTTATAAAAATCGCATGAAGTGGAAATTCCACAAGTCAAAAGCAGTGTCCTTCCACCAGTTAATACTTGAACGGCGAAAATTGCAATCAGCTACAAATGCCCTAGAGAGTTCTCAAGCCACTGGCTTTGAATAAGCTCTGAAACCTCTGGCGGAGTGTAGAGATCGGGAAAATCAAATTGGCCGCCATTTGCTCCGTTCAGATCAAGTAATGGCGAGACAGGCAAGCCGTTGAAGTTCACGTTGCCAAATTCTAAGCTTGGCCACGAGTTCGGAATCTGTTGGCTGTGATTCACGCTCACAGGGACCTGCTGATCCTGTTTGAACGCCTGTTCGAAGTCGTCGTACAAGGATAGCTGATCAATGGGATCCTCTGGTGTTGTTCCGATCGCATCGGGCACGTTCGGCGGCGGGGTGATTGGCGAAACGAAGTCGCGGCGTTGTTTCTTAAACGCTGGCTGCTCTCCCAGAGAACTAGCGTGTTTCTTGGAAGAACCCAGTCCAGGAAATGCGTGCGCGCCGGGCAGTGCCTCACGCTTCGTACCCACTGCCTCGGGGAGGTTCTTTCTCGAGTGTCCTTCCGTAGAGGATGAAGTTTTCCCCTCCTGTCCACCAGCGTTGTTCTTCTGCTTACTAGGCTGCTTCTTCTTGCGTGGACGGTATTTGTAATCTGGATAAGCCTGCATGTGTCTAATGCGAAGTCGCTCCGATTCCTCTACGAACGGTCTCTTCTCGCTCTCCGACAGCAGTTTCCAGCGCTTTCCGAGGCGCTTGCTGATCTCGGCGTTGTGCATATCGGGGTGCTCTTCTGCCATTTTTCTGCGCTCGATCTGGCTCCAAACCATGAACGCGTTCATGGGGCGTTTGACGTGCTGAAGCGATTTCTTGGGTTCTTCCTCGGGCTCGTCTACAGTGGGAACTTGAGGCGGCGGGCTTGGCGAATTGAGCTCGCTTCCTTGGAAAACCATCATTACAAACGCGTTTCAGTGACTCGTACGAGAAGGAAAATTAAAATACTCTATTCTACCAAGCGCGGACAAAGTTCAGTGGTTCGAGCCAGTCAGTTGGTTTCAGTTCGAAACACGAGTCGTCGAAGCCACAGGTGCACGATATTTCTATCTCACGGTCGGTAGGAGTTCGAGTTCTGTTGCGCTTGACACGTTATCAGCGAGTGGACAAGCTTAAACTGATCGTGGCAATTTCTATTTTTAATTTACGTCCAACTTGAATTTGCGTTGGTTTCTCTGTGACGCCGTGACACGTCACCTCACGCTAACACAAAAGAACCAATGATGGGAAGCAAAACCCGCTCGTTGCTCCGCCCCCGATTCGCCGCGCACCTTTGTGATTGGTTAGTTCCACGGCTCCTTAGTCGGTTTGCTTATGTGTTTTTAAATGGGGTTTGCGCGCCAAGTGTCGGCCGGAGGCACGAATATAATCAAAACACAGGAATCAAGTGAAAATTACCGTGGTATCGTCCGTGAGGGTTTGCGAGTTACCTTCACGGTTTGCGAATTCCTCAACGTCTGCCTCGTACGCGCGATCCCGTGCGTGCGTTTTCGCGTTAAATGTGGAAGTAGCGAGATGAGTTTTGTCCAGTTTGTTTCGAATTCATGCCACGTGCTTGGAACAATAGAACGACGCATCAGTAATGACTTACAACACTAAGGGATTGTTAGCGAATTGTCACAACATGCGAATATTAGCATCTAATTTTGGACTGTTTTGAATAAGAAAGACACACTCGAAAGGTTTTTTTTTTCGGAGTAGTCCCTTAGCTTGGTGACTCGCCTTCACGAAATTCCAAATTTACCCGCTTCTTACTTGCATCAGGCAAGAGGCCTGTCGAAAAATTTGGGGCAAACAAGCGGAACAAGCGCGTCGGCGGTGAAATAAGCAAAGATAAGTTCGATTCGGATTTCCAATAATGAAGTTACCGTGGGAAGTTAGGAAGGGGCGGAGGCCGATGAGCTAGGCAGGGTAATTAGGCCCCGGTTTCTTAGATACCCCAAAATAGAACTAAAAGTCAACGAGGAATTTGTTTATGACTGTTTCCCGGATCATTTACGCTGATTCTGTTGGTAATGTCTGCCGAGCGCAAGATTAAAGTTCGCTATCTGTGTTACCATCTCAATCTCTAGAAGTCCCCACGGACAGCACCAATTAGAGTTGTATTCGCCTTTCCGCTCCAAGTGCCAAGCTAATGTAAATCTAATAATGCTAATTTGTTGGCAGGGAGTTTTGTTGATCCGGCGGATGTCTGGGGACCGTGTCGCACCTCGCTATTACACCATACATGATTTTCCGCTTGAGTTTGACTTTTATTTTGTTGTGACATTTTGAAATAACAGTAATTTGAGTGAGAAAAAGAGATGGCGTTTGGAAAATATACGGTCGAAGCTACCTTCCCAAGAGAAAAAACAACCTGTTGATTGTGAAACAACCTGCTTGCAAGAGTCCAAAATGGTCGCTTTGGAGACGTTCGGCCTTAGCCAATCAGATGCAAGCTTTGATCTGTACGCGGTATATTCGCAGACAGGTGTCACCGGCGTTCGAAGCGATAGGGTTGATTTATTAAACACACAGGTGACACTGAGAGGTCACTGCACGACCCACGTGCTTAGAGACCGCCAGCTGGCTGCCAATCATCTTTCGACTGTTCTTTCGAGAGAGGGAGAAAAAATAAAACCATTAAAACGCTTCATTCTTTCCGGCCGAAGCCGTTGCCGCGGTTTCGGCTGGCGCGCGGCGGCTTTTTCCCGCTCAAATTTGCCGCTCATTTCTTCCAAGCCTCGCGAGGGTGGATAGTTATTAGACCGAAACGTAGTACGGCAGTCCTGCCGGTCTGTTAATGTGTTTTCTATTCTCTCTTTTTCAAACCCCTCGCTATACTTCTACCGGTGTTTGTATTATATTTGACCGGATTATGCAAGCGGAGTCGAGTGACCGCGAACGGCCGCCTGTGATTGGCTGTTGCCACCTGAACCAGATGTTTAGTGGCAATTTTACGCCGGTAAAGTCTCATAGGAACGGTTCTGCGAAACACAGCCCTACAAGAGAGAGCCATATTTGACAGTGAGATGATAAGTAACACTCTCGAAGATGAACAGCGCGTGAAGCCCGTCTTGTATTGGTAGATTCCCTATAGGTACATTATCTAGCGCAAACGACTCTTGTGAAAAGTCCGGTAGCTTCTTTCCTTTCTCTGTCATCGACTCATTGTTACGTACGATCGGGCAGAAAATTTTTCTCGCCTTACCTGTGAACTTTCAAGACTCAAACGTCTATGGTAGTATTTTGTATTGAATTATTTGACGTCAAGTATTGCAAATTTCTTTCTTGGCAACTGTCGAGGGCAATTTTGTACTTTAAGCAATCGTACATTTAAGCTTAATTTCTATAAGGTCAGACTTTTTCTTTTCATAAGAGTACGTCTTGGGAAAGTAGAAGGTCGAAAATTTCTTCCGTTATACGTGACAAGAAAATTAACGAGTTTTTATTAACTGTTTTAATAATACTCGTGATTGAACAATGATTTAGAGATTTTTTAATCTTAAGAATTGTTATTTTGGTTTTGTTTCTGACGAAAAAAGGCGATTATTCTTAGTTCGTAAATTTTCATGTCCAGAACCGCCGAGTTATCTGTAACTGTGAATGCAAGTGGGTTTTTATGGCGCTCATTGGTAACACTAGCAAGCATCTTCTTGTTGATATTTTTTATTTTAAGCCTTGTTTTGATTCGCTTGGATTTAAGATTTTGTTTGTGATTATATTCCCCTGAAGCGAATTCAATGTCATAGCGAACAGATCGAGCTTTAACTGACATTCTTTGCAAACATATTGTTTGAGATGTCATTTTAAATTTTGACTTACATATTAGCTTAAATTGGAAACGGGTGTCTCAGCTGGTAGCCCGAGATTTTTTCAACCCAATCTTATTTATGGTGGTATATAGAAACTGTTCTTTTTTAAGAATATCTGAATTAGAAAAAGCTGTTTCCAAACCTGCAAGTGAAAAACACCAGTTTATGCAAATATGTCTTGTTTACAACGAGCGAGGTGAGCACTCATTTTAATTTTATGCTTTCCTGTAATTCACACCTCTCCATTAAATCCCAAAATGTCGGAAAACGTGCTGTTGTATTGGGAAATGCATTTTGTAGGATTAAGGACCATTGTTGAAGACCAATTCAGAATTGGGAAATTTCGGATATTGACATTGATAACAATCAATAAAGTGACGAAATTTCATCAAAGTATTGCAGTGATATGGAAATGTAATAACATTACTGCGTTTTAACCATTTTAAGACTTCTCTTTCTTCTATCACGTTGCTCTATATTTTCGATAATTTCGCAATAATTTCCTATTAGCAATAACTGCCTCCTGCTTTTAATCATTACAAAAGCTAAGAGTTTGCTTTAAAAGGCACGTTTGTAGGTTATGACGCCCGTAGAACGACAGACGAATTTACTTAAGTTTTGCAAAGCGGAACGGGAGAACCCAAGTACGTGATTAAAGCGAATTAAGAACTTAATAAAAGAGTGTAGTGTTTTTTGACGAACACTTTTTAATCTTCGTGGTTTCTTCCGGAAGAGCGGAAAGTCGCTACTCCTGCGGTGATTAAAATAATAAAAATCAACTTTGGTAAACAACTTGACATTTTCGTCCATTTAAATAAAAATTCCCCGCATTCAATGTTCTGTGAAGGATATCAACTACTCGTTGAGCAGTCGAACTAATATTTATCAGCTGGTTTTTATTTCATAATACAGGTGTAGAGAAGATCTTGGCTTATTTCATTGGGCCTACGTGCCAGTTCTCGAATTTTCACTCCGTTGGTTTTGGTCGTAAACACGCTGGGAAGTTACGCAGGGGTTGACGCAAGCGAACCGAAGCCCCAATAAACATGACGATGGCTTTTATTGCACTAACTTTAACGTCAAGGCGTTGCCATTGTCACTAAATCGCCATAATTTTAGCAACTTGACCGATATGCTGCTAGTCATGAAAAATTAGTTTTGACTCGATTTCTTATTTGCGTTCTGGTTTTGTTATACTCGCTTTCTATAATATCAGGAATGCATAGTCTTTAAAATGTATATCACCCAACTTATTTTATCTGATATGTTTGCTTTGTTACGGGTTAAATTCATAGTTTTGTGTTTGATGATTTCGGTTGCGAAGGAGATTATTTTGCGTGGAATCAAGGATTTTCCCGTGGAGGATGGAAGATTTTTGTGCTGGTCTTCATCGATGATTAGTTCAAAGAGGTTATTCCGCGATAAATGAAGGTTTTTCCGTTTTTAGAATGTGCGAAATTACCTTTAAATCGGAAAGCTTCCAAATGGCGGGTTACTAGGGTAGAAAAACACCAAAGAAGTACTTAGAAATAATCAAAAACCAAATGACCACATATTGATGGTTAAGATTGGGAATCTCACAATATTGAATCTTCTTCCGCTTTCTGTATGGCATGAAACGTCAGAAGTATTTCTTTTTTGTAAAGCTCCTTTATGGGTAAAGGATTTTAGTCAAGTTGACCTTTTACTTGGTTGTTTTTACAATTCGCTGGTATCAACCTAGAGTCTTGGACAGAGAGAGCCACTTTATGAGGGAAGTGTCTTGCGCAAGAACATAACACAATAACTCCGGCTATTTCTCAAACCCAGATCTCTCAAACGCGCCAGGCGGCCAGTAGGCCGCGCCAGTAGGCCACCGCGCTTCCCACTATAATTTTTCAACCGTGGTGTAGTTGTCAAGTTGAACCTGGCATAATTATACCGCTCGTTGTGTAGTATTACCACCGTTTATGTAGTGGATCGATTGAGAAGCAATGTCGACAGGCATCTGGGGTCACTACACAAATTACAGTGATTTTTAAAATGAACAAAGAAATATGGTCTCACAACGCTGCAAAGAAAAGATAAGCTATGATCAAATGATGAAACGTAATTAAAGGAAAGCTCTCTGCTCTCGTGAGAAATTGCAAAACTCAGCTAGCGCCTTTTAGGATACTTATAGCCAAAACGCATGCGCGGCCCGCGGTTTTCGGGGACAGGATTGCTACCGTGAACAACAGCAACAACAGTAACTGTATTTACTAATACATTTACAATTTTACAAGAGTAATTATATAAATAAAAGGACAGAAAAATAATGTACATTTGAGTCTGGAGACTGAAGTAACCGACAGTTTTCTAGTCAGTCTCCAGTCATTGTAAGGTTTCTATGGATGTTGAGAGAATACAGAATTCATAGAGAAGGGTTGTGTCCATGGTATAACAGAATGGAGAAAATCCGGCAATACAAGTTTTCAGAATGTTGTTCAGACAGTCAATAAAATTTCAGTTGTTTAGAGAAGTTGAAGGCATTGAGATCTTAAAGAATGGTGGGGATATTGTCCCAAGGTGAGTGGTGAAATTCCGATGACTGAAGATGATTTGCTCCTTATGTGTTGCTTTTGAACTTAAACGTTCCAAGATAGAATGATCGGCATTGCAGTCGAATGATTTGATTTAGGGTTTGAACGTTTTTGTAGGAGAGAAATTCCAGAGCTTTCAACTTCGAGTTACTTTAGCTGACAAACTCTCACATTTTTAGTCGGTGACAAGCGAAGCATTCACATTGGTAAATTGAAGAAAATTAGCATCAATTGTAGTAGA